TTCCTGCAGGGAGAAGAGCCACATGTCACCAGCGCCCGGGCTCCCAGACGCCCACCCCGCTCAGGGCTCTTCCCTCACTTCTTGGCCGTGACAGCCTTCTGCAGGTTCCAGAGCTTCAGCGTGCCGTCCTCGGAGGCAGTGAGCAAAGCCGACTGGCTGTGGTGGAAAGCCAGGGAGCGGATGCCGTCGTAGTGTGAGCGGAGGGTGAACTTGGGGTTCCACGTCTTCTTAAAGGCATCTTTGCTGTCAGACAGCTGGGAAGGGGGCGGCTGCTTCAGTGTCTCAGCGACTTCCTGCCAGGCATGCAGATGCAGAGACCCCTCCCTTCCCTGCCCAGACCTCCCCACTCCACTGCAGACTGGGCTCTGGCCAGGCCACAAGTCTCCCCTTCCTCCTTGCCAGGCAGTCTCTACTCACTCAGCAAGCGCCTGCCATGTGCTAGGTTCTGGGGAGCCTGAGCCCAGATCAGAGGGGGCTCAGGGAGACAGTCAGATCACCCCACAAGTGCACAGGAGTACAAACCCCAAGCGAGGCTATGAATGAAAACTGCCCCAGAGGAGGGAGCAGGCAGCCTGAGTTCTGGGGGGTCCATAAGGCTCTCCTGAGGACGTAACAGGTGAGCCCAACTTAACTAGGTGAGGGGAGAGCACTGGGAGCAAATGTGTGGGCAGAGGCCCTGTGGCAGGAGGCAGCGGGGGTGAGCCCAGAAACCAGAGGCCCACAGAGCTGGGGTACAGAGAGCAAGGAGGGGTGCAGATGATACTGGAGCCAGATGGCAAGCCAATTCAGGACTCTGCACCTCTCCCTAAGCAAAAGCCTACGAGAAACAGGGAGCCATGGGAGCAGTCGGAGAGGGGAAGGGCTTGCTCTGGCCACCCCACGGGAGGCTAGGGTTAGAATTGCTGCAGGGGCAGGTTAAGCATCACAAAGTCTTGGGGACAGATGAGCACATGCTGACGCCCTTCTGGAGAGGCAGCCAAGCACACAGGGGGAAGGCTGGGGGCACAACCGCAGGCCTCGTGGTGAATCCCAGAGCCACGGCCCATGCCCTGCTGGCCAGCAGTGCTGCTCACTGAGTGAGGCTGGGGATGGCCAGGCTTGGGGAAGCTGGTGAGCAGACGGCCTCAGTGCCCTGCCCAAGACAAGGTTCACAGCAGTGCCCTGTCCAAGAAGGGGCTCACAGCAACAGCTCAGCCCACCCCAGGGGCCACCTCAGCTGTCACGTGGTTCCCCTGCCTCCTCGCCCAGCAGAGCCTGGAACATGGCGCCATCTGGCGGGAGCAGAGTCTGAGCACACTCCCCTGCAAGGACTCCCTGCTGGCCTCCTGCATTCCACCCAGTGCCCCCAACCTTGCCAGCATCTCTAGCCACTGGAGGCCCTGCTCTGCATGGAAAAGCACGTGTGCCCACCCGTGCCAGGGCTAAGAGGCCAGTGCTGGATCTCTGGCTAGGCCCCATCTACGTGGGAACTGCAGCCCAGCCCGACTGCCGCCACACTCGGCTCGCTCGATTTTTCTTGGTCTTTGACTTGAAGCCATCTCTCCTCACCAGCATCCTCAAGGGCAGAAGAGAGCACTGAATGGAGCTGGCACCATGGGGACAAGGGTCCCAGAGCCTGCCAGGCCTTGCTGCTCGGTGGCAGCAGCCAAGTCCCCACACCTGCCCTCATCAGCAACCCTCTGCAAAACGGGGTGAGCAGGAGTAGTCAGCTCCTCAGGCTGTCCACAGCCCCACAGTCCTCAGGCAGGAGGGACCAAGCGGGCCCCGGCAGCAAGAGCTGGGCTAGAGCTGGCATGGGCGCACTGCCCGAGGGGGACCCTGTGCACCCCAAGACTTACATCACAGCTGAGGTCGTTGTCGTTGGTGACGGTGAGATCTGCCAAGTCCCCCAGGCTCACCTCCCCGCCCCCGATAGTGTCCATGATGAAAACGTCTGAGGAGAAGCCAAAGGAACCTGGTAGGGGGAGGGGAGGGGGGGCGGAGAGGGCCAGGGAGAGAGAGAAAGACAGAGAGAGGCAGAGAGAGATAAGGAGCGAGCAAGAGAGACAGGGACAGGACGAGATCAAGAATCACAGCTGGAAAGGAAGAGACAGAGACAGACAGACAGGGTAGGACAGACAAAAAGAGAGGGAGACAGACAGACAGACGAACTTTTGGGACAGGGAGGCTGCAGACTGGAGGCTGGGCCTCGACCCTGAGGACACAGAAGCCCTGGGCTTAGCTCTGCAGCCTCCCTCTGCTGTGGGCCCCGCAGGACTGGGGCAAGGGGCAGCGAGCTCTTACCTTCGTGTGGCCGGGGCTGGGGTGTGCCTGGCGGTGGGCCGGTCACTTTGGGGGGCAGCCCGTCTACATCCCGAAGGTCAGCCAGAATTCCCTGGAGTTTGACCCGGCGGCTTTCTGCAGGGGCGAGGACAGGGCAGGAGCTGCTCAGCTCTGCCTCTAGCTGGTGATGTCCCACCCCCGTGGGGGCTGCGAGACTGGCCCAGAGGGATAGGCAGAGAGAGAGGTTGACTCGAACCCTCCATGGGACGGTGGCAAGTCACTGTTCTGGCCTGGGCCTTCCATACACCCTCCTGGATGGCAGTCACAGGATAAGGAGGAGTCCTGCCCACTGGCCTGTCCCCAACACCAGGTCCTCATCCTGTCCCCTCCTGGAGGTTGGCCAGACTGGACGCTCCGGTAAAGGGTTACAGGCCTGGCTTCAGGAAGAACCAGGACTGTCTGCGTCCAGCGGGGGTTTTCCGGGGAAGGGGGGTGCCTAACCACAGTGGCTCGGCCTCCCGCCCTCCTCTCAGGAAGTGTATCCGCTGGCGAAGAGACCCTGGCAGGAAGCAGCTGCAGGCGCTGCGTGTGGAAAGGGCAGGATCCTTGCTAGGAAGGCCACGGTCCAAAATCCCTCGGCTCACCCAGCTCATGGGGATTCCCGTCCGCAGTACAACGCCGAGGGTCTGGGGACCCCTCCCCGTCCTCTCCTGAGCCCAGGAAGTCGAACTCGTTGATGGCGTCCTCCGAGTCGTCCTCTTCATCCTCGTCCTCCATTTCGGGCACCAGAGCCTTGGACGGGAGCTGAGGCATGGAGGAAGCCAGCTGGGTTGGGGCTCTGGTCCAGAGGCCAAGCGGGGAGGGTGGGTTGTGGAACCAAAAGGCCCAGGGAGCCCAGAAGTCGGGGAGCTGGGGAGTCAGAGAGTCGGGGAGCCAGGGAGCCAGGGAGCTGGGGCTGCCTCAGCCTGCTCAGGCCTGGGAAGCGTGCTGGCCGCCGTGCGCCCTCTGCTGGCCACATTCAGGACGTCAACTGCCAGTCCCCAGGGCTGAGCCTCCTTTAGTGCTGGGGGCACCTCCTAGGCCCCTCGCACTCATCCTAGGCTTCTGTGGAGGCTATTCCTGCCCCTACCCGAGCCCTGCAGCTCTCCTGGAGAAAAGGGGGACAGTACGACAGTTTGCTTGTGGGGAAAGGGGCTACACGAAGAGTCTTCTAAAAGCTCACAGAAGGGACCAGCAGATGGTATAACAGTTACATCGTTGGACTCTCACCTAGTTGACCACGGTTCAAGTCCTGGACCCAGCAGCTTAAAACTCACACTGGGCATGTGCATGCGTGCCCAAAAATCCCAAGAGGAGAATGGAGGAGGAGGGATTGCGGTGTGACCATCCCCTCAAGGGATGATTTCTCGCTTTCTGTCTCTCTGGCTCTCTGTCTCTCCAGTAAGCTCATGCGCCCTATAGCAAAAATCTCTAAAAAAGAAAAGGAAAGAGAAACCTCTGGGGAACAGCTCAGAAGGGAGGGGAAGGACTCCAGGGTGCAGGAGAGGAGGGGGAAGCACAGGAGCAGGGGTCGACAGCCCAGACCTCAGGAGAGCTGTGTCCCTACCATGTGCAACTGCCACCTCCTAGCACGCAGCAGGGCAGCTGCCGTGTAGCCAAGAGCCCTGCACCCAGTCAGTCTGACAGAGCCCCCAGGAGATAGGAAACTGAGGCTGAGACAAACACATGCCCCAAGTCACACAGCCAGGGCAGTGCCAACATGGGGTCACAGCAGGCTTTCTGGGTCACAGCTGGGCTCAGAGCTGAGCCTCACGGATAGTGAGGTGTGGAAACATCGAGGCAGAGCCCCGATGCAGTGAGCCAGCCCCCAGAGCAGGAGGGACATGTGACAGACAGATGCAAAGGCCTATGGGAGTACAGAAGTCAGTGAAAACTTCCAAAGGGTAGAGTGGAGGGTGGGGAGGGTGGTTTCCCAGAGCAGGTAACATAAAGTAAAGCTTGAAAGTGAGAAAGACTAAATATCCCAAAGGTGGGCAGGAGCCCAGGAGCTAACGTTGGAGACCCTAGGCTCGAGATGCCCAGCCGTCCTACCCCCTTCCCAGTCTGTGCTCGGTGCATGTCACGCTTCCCAGACCCTCCACCGAGAGCCTTGTCTGGGCAGGACCTTGTGCTGAGCCACACTGGGGAGACTGGATGGCACAGGAGGTGCACAGACCCAACCCTACACAGGAGTAACAGAGTGCCCAGGGTTGGGAAGGGGGAGCCCACCAGAGGCTCCTGACCATGTAGGAGTCAGGAATAGGGTGAAGCAGAGAAGGCTTCCTGGAAGGGATGTCTGGGCTAAGTCTGAAGGAGAAAAGGAAAGGGGTTCCAGGTAGAAGGACCTGCAGATAAGAAGGCTAGGCTGAGGGAGAGTACCATGAGCCTAGGCCTAAGGCTCTGACCCAGCCTGCAGGCTTCAAGAAAGGCCTTTGAGGGGACCAGCAGATGGCGTAATGGTTATGTCGCTGGATTCCCACATGGTTGACCATAGTTCAAGTCCTGGACCCGGAGGCTTGAAACTCACTCTGAGCACGTGTGCATGCGTGCCCAAAATCCCAAGAGGAAAATAGAAAAGAAGGGACTGCAGCATGACCAGCCCTTCAAGGGGTGATTTCTTGCTTTCTGTCTCTCTGTCCTTCTCTGCATCTTCAGTGAACGCACATGACCTATAGCAAAAATCTCTTTAAAAAAAAAGAAAGAAAGAAAAGAAAGGCCTCTCAAAACAGCGGAGAAGGGAGGGGAAGGGTTCCGGGGTGCAGGGGAGAAGGGAAAGCAGGGGTGCAGGCACCGACAGCCAAGACCTCAGCACTCTGCAGGTGTAGACGCAGGAGCAGGAGCCGGGCTGCAGGAGGGCTGGGACTCTGGCCCCGCAGCTGGCGACGGGAGGGAGTGGAGGCAGGAGCTCACCTTCACGCGCTGCTTCTTATGCTGCACACTGTCCAGCTCGTCATCCTCATCGCTGTCCTCATCCTCGCAGTTCTGCAGGAAGGGGATCTGCTCCAGCACCGAGCCGCCCAAGCGCTCTTTGCCATCTTTGCCTGCCG